ATAAAAAGGTAAATATAAAAAGTAATACAATAATAAAAAAACTAAAAAATATAAAAAACAAATTAGTACTAGTTATAGTTAAATTAAGAAGATAAAAGAAACAAGACCAGATAAAATATATAAGTAAAACATATAAATATAATTATAAAAGACAGTATTTTTGATATTAGAATACTATAATAACTTTAAAAATATTTTTATTTATATAGTAGTTTAATAATATAAGTAATAAAAAGAGAAATCCTGTAAATTATCTCACTTAATTAGTAAAATAATTTACAGGTTTTCTCTTTTTAGCACTTATATATTCTAATTGCAAATAGTTATTACAATAACTTTATGAAAATATATAACAGACATAATCTTAAATACTATATAAGTAACTAAATAAAATCAATTTAATAAAATTAAGGTAACTAATATAGCATTAATAATAATTAGTCTATAAAATATATATAAATACAAATTATATTATAAATTTAAAATTTAATAAACAAACTAACAATATTAACAAAGTTTAAAAAATATTTAAAATAAGTTTTATTTTATTTTATTTGATAAAATTTTATATTATTATTGATAAGCAATTTTATTTGTTATATTTTAATATTTGAATTTTGTTTTTATTAATATCTTTATTATTAAATAAATAAAAAATAATATATCAATATTAACTAAAAATTTTTCTATAATAGCTGTTAGTTTTTTATATAAATAATATTTATAAAAAAAATTTGTATTCTTTGTAAAAGTTCTTTATTTTTGCTTTTGGTAAAGATAGTATTATTAATTTAAAGTTAATAAAAAATTCAGATACTTAATTTTTTAAATAAGTATTAATATTAATTTTCTTTAATTAATAATAAAATGCATGCTTATTAAAATGCTAGTCACATTATTTGTTTGATATTTTGCTTTTTTTTTGTTTTTAAACATATTAAAATGTTATTAAAACAGGTTATTAAACTTATTTTTTTTGAATAAGCTAAAGTTATAACTAGTTTAAAAACTTTGATAAATATTTTAAAACTGTTGATTAATTCAAAAGATAAAACAGAATAATCATATTTCTGTTAAAGATAATCAAAGATAAAATATAGTTGTGCTTGTTATAGTAACAACTTATGCAAAACAATATCTACTATAATAAAATAGTTATTTGATTAAATTAAGTTTTTATATACTTTATAGTTTCTATTTTAAAATATATAAGTACAAATGTTAATTCAAATATCAAATCAATAACAATCATGTTCTCTCTTGACTTTTTTGCAATAATAAAATCAGTAATATATAAGATAAAATGCCTTTTAAAACGTTTATAAAATTATTTTTTAATTTTCCTTCATAGATCTGAGATATGTATAACTTGTGGGTTATGTTAAAAGTACCAAAAGAATCATTTATTCTGGAATGTAACCATTCTCTAAAATAAACATAACCTATAATTGACTAAATATCTTCTTCCAATTGCTAAGAAGCTTGTTAGCTGATGAATTAATAATGATATGCTTTAAGGGGTTAAGATTATTATTAATTGTTCTAATTGAGACAAACTGGTTATAATTTGACTGACTTTCTATCTGTTTTAGTAATTTGAACTGAAAAAAATATTCCCAATCGGTTAACTGAATCAAATTATTTTATGTCAATTGATTACAACCAGTTGAGATTAATAATCTCTACTTCTCATTCTTACCTCGGAAATTTTTGAAGCTTCACTCAAATTATTGATTCACCTTGCTCGTCTCTTATGTTCATTCAGTTTATTTTCGGAATCTTTGCTCTCTCTTGGTATTTACATACTATCGATCCTACCAACCAGTTACCTGATACTCGACCGGTTGTACCGGGTCAACCGATTAAGAATTTGCTCAACTGGTTATCCGAAATTTATTCAGGTCGGGTCGGTTAACCGATTATAGCCCAACCAGTAGTTTAGAACATTCGAAATACAGTACAGAAAACCTTCCTAAATACACCCTCTCTAAATGCATTACACCTATAAATGCACTGTTGAATTCCGGCCAAAGTAAATGTTTAACCTCCCTAAATGCCAAGAGTTTGGTCCGTTCATGGTGCATTTAGGGAGGTTTCTCTGTAACAACCGTTGAAATTTTTTAAAATGTTGAGGAACAATATCTTGACGACTATATAACCAAATTCGATGAATTGTTTTTATCAAATTATGTTAAATTATTATCAAAAGATCTTGCTCAATTTTTAGAGTTTTAAAGGTATGAATAACTGTCATCTTAATTGTAATGAATATAATTAATGTCGCAGTTGATGCTTGAAATGCCTGAAGCTGGAAATTAGAGACTTCGCTTTAAAAATATAAACACTACCAAAATCTACCTATACCCTAAATCTTAACTTGAATACGCATAAAAAATACGGCCCAAAATTTTTGGAAATTTTATATTAAAGTATTTAAATTTCCAGCTTCAGCCATTTCCGGCCTAACCGCAAATTGTGAATTTTATATATATGGGGGTGAGTCAATAGAAATCAAGCAAATTGTTTTTATTAAATTTTTTTTTGAAACTTTAAACAACACAAAAGCTTAATCAAATTTAATAAAAAAAATTTTTAAATGAATTCTACAAACTTGTACCATTTATTTTAAAAAAGGTTTATTAAATTTGATAAAGTTTTGGTTAAGTTATCTTTGTTTAAAGTTTCAAAAAATTTACTTAGAAAAAATTTGCTTGATTTCTATTGATTCAACCTCATATATAAGTTTTTTTATTGTTTGGATTCTTCTGTGTTCTTTTTTAGCTCATTATAAAACTTGTATCAGTAAATACACAAAACAATTGTTTATTGTTTGCAATTGTTTCTTGCGATAATAATATCCATCAACTTCACAGCTTCAGATGTGCTTAAATTGTTTTTTTTTATTCAACTAATAAACTATACTGGAATGTGTGATTAGCCATATTGAAACTACGTATTACATCAACCTCCGGCTTATTTGCCTATTGTTAGTCCTCTTCACATTTATATTATATTCTTCAAAACTCATGCATAAATTATCTTGGTAGTTCGTCGATTCTTCTCTGACAGTACTGAATTCAACAAAGCGACAAGTTGCATACTATATAGGATTATAACTGTTGCATGACGTGAAAATAATGGTGTTTATAAATAAGGTGTTCATTTGAAATTTGATCCTATTCTTCAGATGCTGTCCGAATTAAATTCGGATCCTTTCAGATGATAATCTGAACTCACCTAAGTAATAGTAATTACATATAACGATACCATATTCTGTTTTCCAATTCTTTAGTTTTTAAATTTTATGAAATTCTTTTGCATAGAGAATATTATCGTTTAAAGCTAGAAATGGCTTTTTTCTTAGTGAAACATTCTTAAATACTGTTAGCTTGATCCTAGAATCAGAAAATCAATGGCTACTATTCTTGTGAAATTATTATTTGGGTGCCGCCAAGTGAAAACCTGACGTTCTAAAAATAGATTTCTGTGGACAACGGAATGCGGGATTTTAACAAATCTGAATAGAGTAATGAATTATACTGTTTTTATGTTCACCATTTAAAGTCTGAATTCCATTGTCCGTAGAAACCTATTTTTAGAATTCAGGTTTTCACTTGGCAGTACCCATTTACGATCCAGTTAATTGACTCAAATCAGCAATATACAAAGTTTTCCGAAATTAACTAATCCGAATTAGGTTTTTATATATTAACCCACTAGTTAAGTAAACTCAAATAGGCAAGAAAAATAACCTTCCGTTTGTCTTATCTATTTTTTTCTAGTTAAATTGACGAGTCGATATGTAAGTAAGGTTTATATTATGAGAACCAATAAATTAACATGGCCTGGTTTTAAGTATCGAAATTTTAAAATCTATATAATTTAATAGTATGATTACATTGCTTAACGGTGTACCTTATTCTGGTTTTTTGTATTACCGAAGATAACGTTAACGTGTAACTTTAAATACTTTTAAATCTCATATCGGTATTTTAACCTCATTACCGTCGTAATTTTCTTTTCTCTTAATAAAAAAAATGTCAGGAGAGTTTTCTTGTTTCTTTTACGGTACTCTGATTTTTCCAGAAGTTATTAAACACGTACTTAGTGTTGGTGGGAGAGAAAAAATCTCTGTTGATCTTAATTCCGGTGCTCCAGCTGTTTTAGAGGTAACATACTAGTAAACTTATTTTCTCTCTGAATGCTCTTTTTTGCCTGATCATATACACTTAGAACATAGTGTTTATTTTCAAAGTCTATTATATACAGTATTAGAGTTTTATGATTTTAAGAGTTAGGCCATACAAAATTAATTTCCTGCTTTCACAAATCGGATCAAATTTATATTTTAATAACCGATAGATATTATAAAAAAATTTTTATATATTAAATTTTTTAAAAAATAAACCGGTTAGCCGGATTTGTTTCATAATTCTTAAATTAATTTTGCATGGCCCTATCCGAATATTCACAAATATTGCAATTATTACAAATTATGAAGATTCGTGTTAATTGCAAATAACTATGAAGATTCGTGTTAATTACAAATAATTATGAATATTTATAAACTACTTATATATTTTGAATCTTGATATCTCATTATTAAGGGTTATAAACGTTTTCAAGTCCGTGGAGCTTGGTATCCGGCCATAGTGAAAGGCCATGAAAATGATGAAACAAAAGGTGTTCTTTTTAAAGGTCTTACCTATAATGATGTTTTAAAACTTGATAATTTTGAGGGTGATGTAAGGATTTCTTTTTTATAACCATTTTTATAATTTTTTTAAATAACCATATTTACTAATTCAATTTGTAGCAATATAAAAGAATAGATGTTAAAGTATTTGTTGATAATTCTTTAAATCCTATACCTACTCAAACTTATATTTGGATTGCTTCTGCTGATTTGTTGGAAAATAAAGACTGGGATCCAAATAAATTTAAAAAACTAATAGAAAATCAATCTATTGATACACTTGATTAATAATGTATATTATATTAATTTTGTCTATTAATTTAAAATTGTAATGTTGGTTTATAAATTTTTGTAAATTTAAATCTAGGTATTTAATAACTTTAATATATATTAAAAAGTTAATATTTATTTACTATATGTTTGGCCATTTTGTTGTTAATAAACGCAGTTAAATAACTATAACCAATGGTCAAATTTAAAAAATTATTTTAATAAATAGTTAAATATTTATTTATATATAAAGATAGTAATATAATTAACTAATATGTATTACTGTATATAAACTAAAATTTTCTACAAACAAATCTATAGTGGGTTTTTTAAACAAAATTTTAAAATAGTAATAATTTTTAATGTTTTTAAATCATGTTTTACTTGAATACTCATATATAGAATATAAGTATATTAATAAAATAGTTTTTTTTTATAATGTCAACTTGTAATTTAACTTTATTAAATTAATATCTAATTAATATATTATAGTTTATACAATACATTTGTGTTACTAAATTATTATAAACACCCAATATAACATTACATTTACACTTTATTCTTTTGTTATAACTAGATATTCTACTTGTTATTACTAACTTAAAGTAAGACTGTAAACATTTGCTGTATTATATTTTTTTAATACTTCATTTAACTATATGCAGTTTTTCTATTTGCTTTCTATAGTATTTCTTTCTTTTTTAAATTAGGTAACTCTAGTAGTTTTTATTCTTCTTATCACTAATTTGGTATATCGACTTAGCATTATTGAATTTCTTTTATTTAATTGTTTTATCAGGTTTATTAAGTTCTAAATTGTTAATTTACAGTTGCTATATACTCTTTTTTATTTATTTTTATAATTAATTTTGGATATAACTTAAGTACATATATTTTTTGCAAGTTATAAGTATACAACTATTTTTATATAACTGCATTATCTGCTGATAGTGACTTTTGACCTGGAAAACTTGTCAACGGTGACTTTTTAACTCTTGTTTAATTAGTGATTTTATATAGTGTTACAGAAAACTTGCTGATGGTGATGGATTAACCTATGGGTGAGTTAATATTTCAGACTATAACTATGCGAAAGTTATATATGAGTTGCAACGGGAGAAGTTTTTCTTCCCGAAGGGCTTTTTGGCCTTTATTTATAATTGTAAACCTCTATTTACATTATGCGATGGATATGACTGATATCTTTGATGCTACTGACACGTCGTATCCTACCGATATCCCCAAAATACCCTTCTGACCGATCACTGGTATCCGTCATATCCGTCGTATGCAACAGATACGATGGATGCGATCGACCTTTAGTAATGGACTCCTAAACGGCCAGGGTTCATTCGGGTCCCACACCGTAACGATTAAATATTTAATATGTATGAATTAAATTGAAATTAATAAATACATTACTATGAATCTAACAACCCAAAGACTAAGCTATAGCCCGATACAAATAGAGTCATATAGTCCAAGACCTTATTAAAATAAAATAAAAAAGCACAAAATAAATTTAAAATATGAACCATTTATTCTAAGAGACAATAAACAAATTGTTTAATTGTATATGGGTGTCGCCAAGTAAAAAATAGACTTCTTGATATAACGGAATGGGAACTCTGAGTAGAATAATAAATTATACTGTTTTTCGATCACATATTCGTATCGTTTAAAGTCCATATTCTGTTGTCTAAAGAATCATCTTAGACGCATTATTATGCTTTAATAATCTTAAATGTAATGATACGTTTTAATCTCTCAAAGTTTACAAGTTTATGTTTTATGTTACTAAGCTATTTACTGGCAGTACATGTCTGCTCTTAGAATAATAAGTAAAGCAGATTAGCGATGTAAACATTTTGAAATTGCTGTTATTTTACCAAGTTTAAGTAAGCTATATTGGCTAAACTGAAACGTCTAGACATACCTTTCATATAACTTCCGAATTATTTCGGTAATCACCAAATTACTTTAGTATGTTGTAGAATCGAAGGTGTAGTTTCTAAATTTTTATACTATAACCCCTGTGATTTTGTGCTCGTGGCTGCAGTTCCGTTTTTGTGAATGAAAAACGTTACACTAATATGTGGAACATATTTTGGTCGATCATCCAATCAGATTTAAAGTCCGCTATGCTATATATAGCGTATTTAGTCAATTTCGTGAATATATCTATTATGTGCAAACCAATCATGCAAAAGTACAAAAGCACTATCTTTGGTTTCAATAAAGCAGCTTAGCAACAGCTCAGTTAGAGTTCGATATTGTTTGGCTCTACTAATTCTCCCTCAATAAGTAAAATCTGTAATAACGATATGGATTAGTGTTAAATCCCGTGAATCTGTATTAAGGTACTCGTGACGTAGTCTAGGGTTCTAATTGACACTAGTTACTCAGAACAAGTCTTTCCACGCCTCAATCGTAGACTTACCATTATTAGGGTTCAGTTAAAGTGTATTAATTAGTATTAGGGGGAGAATCCGCCCTTCACAACGTGCATTCATACGTATACTATTTTGATATATATCCATTAGGGATGTAGCCCAAACCACTTGGGACGACCCAAATTATGTGACAATTAGTGTCACATTGTTTTGATAATAAGTATAAACTTTGTAAAAACCTAATTGTCACATAGTTTGGGTCGTCCCAAATAGTTTGGCAACATTCCTAATATCCATACGCTGGGAATCCTAGTGTAGGATTTTTTAACGTTTTGATTATTTAGTAGTGTTTGGCTGTAGAAACCCGAATCCGTCCAAAAGCTTGTTACGGTTACACGAAAATATAACACAAATCACGATAATTATTTGATAAATAGCAACTCTAAATATAAGAAACCTTCAATGTAAGGAACTTTTGATGTAAGAAAGGTTTTATAGCAACAAACGGTAGAGCACTTTGCAATTGAATGCCGTATCAGTACTAAGCTGTGGAAGCTTGCCTATGACTTGTTTAATTTCCTGCAGGATATTACACCTCCATCCTCTATCGAAGAAATCATTACAGCATCAAATACTAGATCGTTTCATTCACGCACAGTAGCTATATGGCTACACATCACTGTCATATATGAAATCTGGGTTTGGTTTACTAATAGAAAATGGGGTAATAACCAGTTGCCAGAGCCGGCACTACCATTTATTTGGAAGGTCAGAATTACAAAAGAGATACAAGCAGCTCTGGGTAACAAAGCAATTAAGAAAAAGGAAAGAGACCTTCTAATGCATGTACACAATGTAAATAGCTAAAACTGTATAGACACACCTGTATATATATGTCAACACAATAAATGGCGTCTCTTGACGTCCCCGGATAATTGTTATCTTGGGGTTTAAAAAAAAAAAAAAAAAAAAAAAAAAAAAGAAAGGTTTTATAGGTCCCAATTGAAAATTTTATAATAAAAAGCTTTTAATATAAAAAAAAACCTTGATATAAGAAAGATTTTGGCAGGAACGGTGATTTTTGTATATCAAGGGTCAGTTGTATTTCGAGATGAGTAAATCGCATTTCTCCTAAAATCCTGCGCATCATGCGCGAGATTCATTAAATCTAGGTGTCACAAAAAATGCGTGGTTGGTCCTCAATTTTGATTGGCCAACGGATGTGATCGACAAAATTTTGTCCGTATTATACATAATTTTGGCCGGATTTAATTTTTAATTGCAAAAATGGATATTTTTAGGGTTTGTGCAATGAAAAATTAGCCCAAAAACATATTTCACTTAGGATTGAAAATTACATTTTACAAATTTACAATGCATGTAATTTCACATAAGTTTTGTAACATGGATTTCATGTAAATTTCACGTGATATATAGTGCCAGCACTATGAAAAATTTAGCTGTCATTATTTAACTTTAATAAATTTTACATAGTTTACTAATCAAATCGATACGCATATGATCAAAGCAATCATAAGATAGAATGGTCACGTTTTTTACAAATTACATATAATTTCGATTTCAAAAACATAAGTAAAATTACTAAAATTATGGTAATTTACCAACCTTAATTTCATTTAATGGCAGCCATGATTTCATTAGTAAAAATTCGAGTAATTTTGCCTAAATTTTGATCATTGCCGTTGGTCAATCAAAATATTGAATTTCTACGTATTTTTTGCAAGATTTATCATAATCGCAGTAATTAAATTGAACACATCCTTGGTTAAAGCTTTCATCTGGTCCAATTTTTGTAAGATGATTCCAAATGTCATTATTACCACGTATGTTATATTTATTTTTAAAAAGAGTGACTTAATTATAAAGAAAAATTTTTGGTACGTAAGCAAAGGATACCAAAAAAAGTAAATTCTTATCATATATATATATACATATGTGTGAAATGTTATGCAAATAAATAAATAAATTCTAATTAGGAATTGGCTAAATATGTTAATTCAGGCCAGATATTATATTAATGCTAAACAGATGTTATGTTAACGCAGGCCAGATATTATATTAATGCTAGCCAGATGTTATGGTAATGCCGGCCAGTTAATCTTATTTTGGGATCATATAACAGTGTTTAAAATACCAATCTAAAAAATTTCGCTAGTCAATCAGATTTCTAGATCAGGTGTAACGTAAAAGAAGTGCAAAAAAATCAAAACACCAAAAAAACGCTTATAGCTTAAAATTTTGCCTATGAAAGTGCCTTCTGCGTACTAACAAAAAATTTCCTCGGGAAATTTTACTATAACTATAGTCCTTTAAACCAAACACCAACTTACTGGTAGGACCCTAACCCTGAACTAATTGCGAAATTTTTTTAATAAGATCACATGATGAGAGAAATTTTTTAGACTGGCATTGCTAACCCCATAGCGCGTGCCCATCTCTAATAAATGAGCATTCACAAAGGAAATCCTCCACGATCCCGCCGACCAACCAAATACAAGAGTTTGTGTATGTACACCATCGAACATGGCTGTAAACCATACCCTTCGTTTCACTTCTGTGAACTCCGTTCCTGGTATATTTTAAAAAGGCATTCGTTCGGTAACATCATTTTGAAAGGAATGTGAATTCAGTATAACGGTAAAAAAATCAGATTTTGCTTCCGATATATAAAGTAAAATAGCATTACTAGCTATTTACTAGAGAATAGTGCTATTTTAGATGCTACAAAAATCCACTGACTCTGTATTATACATACTTTGTACTCCTCAGTAAAGTATTATGACTGATCATACGATGGAAATCATAAAGAAGGATCATACGATGCACAAATATGGAAATCATAAGGATTGATCATACGATGCCCGTATTGGAATACATAATACGTACTAATGAAGGTTATATTGTGTCAACCTTTTTTTAGTATCGTTCGGGGTGCTACAAAAATCATAAGGCATTTTTATCCAATTAGATGCCCAGAATCCGCGACTCCACCTAACTCGCTCAAACCCTACACTACGTATGTTCTTGGTATTAATAAAAAAAATGTACAATATTATAAATAAAATTATTTATCTATTTTAGTAAAATTTTAAACTATTGTATTATTTTAAAATATATATACAAAGTTTGCCTAGGTGGTACAAAATCGGAAAATTTGATTGGATAATTTACATAGTTTTATATCCTAATGTTTAAAAATTCATAACTGAATGAGTTTTTAACCAATTTTAATAATTTTACTATCATTAGAATCAGAAAGACCTACTCAACAACTTTTACTTAAGGATTAAAAATTGTTTACTTGATATTTTTTTTCAAGAAATTAAATATAAAAAAAAATTACAAAAATTTGCAATCAAATTTATATATAATTTAGAAATGTTGTAAGAATGACCTGGGTCAATTTGGAATTGATCTAAATCGTGAAATGACTCAGAACAGTTACACTACCCAGGGTTTAATTTTTTTGATATTTTAAAATTCTGTACATGTATACAATTAAAGTTTTTCACAAAATATTGATGTGACTTCAGTTTTGAATTTAAACGGTGCGTCCACTATGCTCGTTAGTACAGCATTCCTTTTTTTAATATTAACGTCAGATTAAAATAATTATATTGCCAATACCTCCCTGACCTTAATGAAACTCAGTATTTAAATTTTTATCCGACGACGCAAGTTTTAGTTTGACGTACAAATGAATTACATACTTATATTAATATCTGTTATTATTTTTTTCTGCGATCACTATAAAAGTGTTAATTCATTTGTTCCTGAAGGAAGAGCAGAACATAATGCAATTCTTTTTGATAAAAAAATATACTTTTATGGTGGATGGACTGTGAATGCAACCACTAATGGCTTCTAATAATAAATTATTCTATCTTGATGTTTCAATACCTTTTACCATATATGATGAATCTTTAATGCCCTGGGCAGATCTTTCTTCAATTGTAGGTGCAATAAACCGAACCAGTTCCTCAGCTTACATTGATAAGACCTCTATTTTTTTTATTGGCGGGTATTATTCTGTAAATAGTCCTTCTATTAATAAATTTGATACCGCAACACAGCAATGGAGTACACCTAGTATTTCAGGATCAATACCTCTCTCAAGCAATTTAAAATATGCTCCTTGTGTTAGCTTAGGAAATAAAATATATATTTATGGTGGGAATGCATCTCTAAGCGCCATGAATAAACTAAATACTTCAAGCTTATTATGGTCTATATTATCATATACAATAACGTCTAGCAAAACTCAGGGCTATAGTGCTACGTTATTAAATGATTCAATTTTATATATTGGAGGTACTAATCAACTCGCATTCAATGGTTGGAATTGTCCAAACAAAACATTTAATTTAATGAAAGAGGTAAATTTAAAATGCATATTTATTATTAATTAAATACAATTTTAAACGTATAATCCTGTTAAAAATATATAGTTACCACTATACAATATAACTAATAACACTTGGAGCAATATTGTAGGTCATATTTTTGTTTATATGTGTTTGTTTAACATTTATTTACAGTAATATAACTTGTAGGAAACATCTGGTCAAATTCCTTTTGATGTGGTCATTCATCAGTTTTTATTTGTATGTATTAGTTTAAATTATGCAATTTGTTAAAATTGACTTCTATGTCAACGACTCAATTTTTACCATATTATAATATAGCTCAACACAATCGGATTTTATTGTTTTATGGTCAACAGGATATTTCTGATGTTTCACTTATTGCACTTGATATATTGGCATTTACTTGGTTGGTCCCTAATATTTCAAATACTGGTGGCCCTCAACAGGTTTTGAGATGGCATAGTTCCACAATGATTGGTGCCTATGTTCTTATTGCATTTGGTATGTATAGTATATATGTTCTTTCCATAGCATAATATTGTGTAAAGAATATCAATGAATCAGTTTTTAAACTGATTATATTACTATTAATTTAATATTAACAGCTGGCTTATAAAAATACATATTTTAATCTAGGATATTTGTTTCCAACTGTTGATATTCGTACTACTACTTCTGATATTTTTCTTCTTGATGTAAGCCGCGTCGATAATTACAGATGGGTTACATCATATGAACCCGATAAAACACTTCAACCCATACCATCTACATTATTTACTCAACCAACTACACCCGTAGCGCCAAATAATATAAACATTGGCACAATTATTGGAATCATAATTGGAATTGTAGGACTTATATTATTAGCAATAATTGCTATTATCATGGTTAAAAATAGGTATACTTTGCTTATGAATATTTCACAGGATAGAGCTACAGAGAGGATGTTGGAAAGATAGGTACTAGGGTTTTGGGTAAACCTTACAAGGGTAAAAGTGGTTTAATAATTAGCCCTGACTGCAAGTAATAGTTTAGGTCAAAGTGATACTGAGTGAGCTGTAAGTATAGGATACAAATGCACTGGTAGGTTTAGTACAAAGTTAAACATGACTTTGTAATCATGGCATATCTTTACCAGTTTATCAGAGTCATTGGTAAAGTGTAGTGAATATGAGATCAGAGTGTTTAAATAAAGGTTTTACAGGTGGGTCCTAAGTATAGCAACTAGTATAGAACTTTTAGACAGACTACTTAAATTAGACAATGTTTAAAGTTGTATGAGTGGTTAGTTGTATGAGTGGCTAATTGTACACTCTTTCTATGATTGTCTCTGCACTGTTATGTCAACAGATGTTGGCTAACTGATATTACCAATAAAATCCTGAGTTATATATACTTATCTTAACATTAAAAAAAAAAAAATTTGATAAATAGTTCATCTTTTATTGTCTGTTTTTAAAATAAGTTGAGCAGTGTATGTTTTATGTAAAGTAAGAAATTCTTGTTTATAAAGGTTGAGTTCTTTTGGATCTGTTACTATTGGTTGGGCAGGTAAGACATGATCATGTTTATAAGTTGTTGGTACTGAAATTTTTGTTATTTTACTTAAATGAATAATAATTATTCTTTTAGTTATAACTGGCATCAACTTTCTTAAACTAGTTATTATCAAAAAGAAAAGAATAAGAAGTAGCAGAAACAACTTCAATAGTAATTGGGATAATCATTTCTTTAATTTCTATAGAAAGGTTTTTAATAATTTCTAAAAGACATATAAAAGTACCAGTAGTTGTAATGGTTAGGCTAATAAAGGCTTGTTTAATTTTGAGTTCTAGTTTTTTAACAGTTTGGTAGACAATCATACTAATAGCAGCACCACTATTAATAATAGCTTAATAGAATCTGTTTCTAAATTAAATGTTATATTTCACAGAAATAGTATAAGTAGATGATTGGACTAAGTTGGCATTTTTAGCTTCTTTATACAGATATGCAAACATAGCTATACAAATAAAAGGTTGTCAAGGAATTGTTTTTATTTCTTTATTGTAATAACAAAAGAAGTAGAGAAAAAATCTTTATAGCCAAGATAGTTAACATCTCTATAATAACATGAAAGTGAATAAAAACTAGTTATTCTTCTATTACTATTATATAAGTTTGAGTATTTGCTTTTTTCTTAGAGTTTTCTTATTCTTTAGAAAGGTTTTAATAGTAAGATCTATTACACTTATAAAAATGAGACCTTTAATTGCATTTGCTATTTTTTTTATAATTATTTTTTAGATTAAACCATAGTTTAGCTCTTCTGATTCTATATTTAGCAATAAAGTATTCTGTTTATCTATAGTAATAACAGTAGCAAAAATCTTTTGCTTGGAGTTTGTTGATGTTAAATATAGCTACATAGTTGATAGATTAAAGTTAAGATGTTGCTGTTGCTAAGCTAAGTTAATACTAAGTTTGGCAATCTGGTTTGTTAGCTGTTAATAGCTTGGTCTGTTTCTATAATAATATTGAAAACTATTATATATTCAGTTTTCTATTGTTTTGTAATATTAATAGCAGCATTTAGATTAGCAGGTTTATTAGCTTGTATATTAATAGAAAATTTAAAACATAGTTTTTAGATAAATAATTGTTTAGTAAAGTTTGCAGAGAAGGTATTACTAGAGTTAACTTATTTTTTTAATTGTCTAAAATAATTAATATATATGTTTACTATATTTGAGTTTTGTTTAATATCAAAAAGCTGTTTTTGCCAAATAGCTTTTTGTTTAGATATATGAAAGTAAGTTCTTAAATAATATTTAAAGTTCTGTTTTGATTAATATTATCATTAAAAGCATTTGGATATAGGTCAAGACTTTGTTACCAATCTAATGCAAATATACAGAAGTAAGTTCTAATTTTTAAGCAGCATTTTACTTGTTAGCAATAACAGCTTTTCAAAAATCTTCAAGTCATTGTTTTGGGTTTTAAGTTCCATTAACCAAGAAAAAGTTAGCTCTTAGGAAGGCTCTTTTATTTTTATTTAAAGCAGTAATAAGATTAGTCATAGCTTGTACAATATCTTGTAATGCTTGTTGTGCCATGTTATCAAATAGATCAAAAAAGTAATTAAGAATAAATAGAAGTAAAGAAAGAAGTTAAGATTAAAAAAAATAGGTTGAGGTTGAATAACAATAAGTTAAGATAAAAGAAAAATAAGTTGAAATGAAAGTAAAGAAGAAAAACTTTTTTCAAAAGGCTGTTATTAAGATAAATCAAGAAGAGTATAATATAAGCTAGAGATTTCTGTAAGATCTACAAAAGCAGTAATATATTTCTCTATTTTTAAATTATTAGTAATTAATAAGAGAATTCATAAAGGCCAAGTAGAAGTATAATAGCTTTCAAAGAGTTCAATAGATGTAACTAATTTATTATAAGAAACTAAACTATTTTCTGAATTGTATAAGAAAGAAATATTATCTAAAAAAGTAATATTATTATCAGTAGTAGATGGTAAAATAGAACTTTCTAAATTTTTAATATGTTGACTAAATTCTTCTAACTTTTTTGAAACTAAAACTTTGAAAAGTATTAATATAAAGGTCAAAAACATTTTGATATTCAAAAAATAAGATAAGAAGTTAAAAAAAAATTGGTATATATTCTAACTAAAGCTAAAGCTATTGTTCTAAAATTACCAATGTCTTGTTGGTATTAATAACTAAAAATAATATTTTTAATACAAAGGCAAAATGTAATTTGATCTGAATATAAAATAATAAGAATGATAAAGTTGTTCTAAGTTTGAGAAGAATAATGTTAAGCTAAAAAGTAGTTCTGTACCAAGTTCAAAATTGTCTAAAAGGTGAGTAAGAGCTAGTATATTAAGAAAAATAATACTAAAGACAAGATAAATCTGAATGCTGTATTTAGAGTATATTTATTATAAGATGAGATTTAGTTAAATATGCTTGTTAATAACTTTGAATATTCTTATTATAAAGTTTAGCAGCAGTATGAACTATAAAAGAAAAGAGATTTAATTAATCTAATATATATCTTGAACTTTACTAAAATAACCAATACTCATTTAAGTCTCTTGCTGAGATAGCTAATGCTTGTTCAAATTTCTTGCTAAGATAACTAATATTTATTCAAGCCTATTGTTAAGATAACTAATGCTTATCCAGGTTTTTTGCCAAAATAACTAATACTTATCTGGGTCTTTTGTCAGAATAACTTTTTTAATATGTCTGGAAATGTCTTATCTAAAGTAATTTGTTTTTCTCTAAAATTTAAACTTTACCAAAAGGCATTAAATGTTATAGATGCAAGTCTTCTTAATTTTCATACTATAATAACAATACAGTATAAAGAATTTTTTACAGATATATCAGTGTTTAAGAGAAAAGTATAGTTTTTGTTAAACATTGTTAAGAAACTATATACTTCTCTAAGGCAGTTCAGAAAAAATAATACAATACTAATAACTTTATTTTATTTACTAAAAGAAAGATAAACCTTGCTTATAAAAATTACTTTAGAAAAAAAGTATTAATATAGTTTATAATTAAAAGTTATTTATTAAAGTAATAACAAGAAAGGCTATTCTTAGGTTTTTGTTTCTAAAAATTTTAAGATATAATTACAATATTAAAGAAAAGAGAAATGTCTGTTGCTTAATTAGACTTAAAAAATTTAGTAAAATTTATATATCTGTGAATTAAGCAGCTAAGCAGCCAAGCAATTAAGTAACTAAACAACTAAACAACTAAGTAACTAAGCATTAAGTGACTAAGCAACTAAGTGACTAAGTAATTATTAAGCAACTAGAAGGTTTTAGCAACTAATAACTAATAATTACTAAGTGACTAATTACTAAGTAACTAAGCAACTAAGCAGCTAAGCAACTAAGTAACTAAGTGACTAAGTAATTACTAAGAGCCATGTTATTAATCACTTGATTATTTTTTATTAGAGACCTACTCTTCTCTCTTCTTTTAATATATAAATAGTTAGATTTTTTATATATAATTTCAACTTTTTTTACTCTCTCTTTCTCTAAAAAATCATCTGATTTTTGACACTTTTTTAAGTGATTACTTAGTGATTACTAAGTGATTACTAAGTAATTACTAAGTAACCAGAAAGTTTTAGCAACTTCTAATAATAATAATACAATAATAAAAATAACTAATACTAATAAAATAATAATAAAAATAGAGAATTACTATTTCCTCTTCCTATTTTTGCTAATGCCACCCTCCAAAATACATAAAATTGCTCTGAAAGAGATATTATTATTAAGTAAACCTTCTTTTTGATATTAATTAAAGTTGTTCATTAGATCTTTCTGGTTCTAATGATGGTAAAATCACTAAGTTTGTACTGGTAGTTCTTGCAATATTTATATCTAAAGTTTATAATCTTTAATCTACTTTTAAAAAAGAACTACCAGTTTGATTTTAATAATTTTATCATTATTAGAACTGGAAGGTCTAATGAACAACTTTAATTAATACCAAAAAAGAGGTTTACTTAATAATAATATCTTTTATGAAGCACTTTTATGTATTTTGAGAGGTGGCATTAGCAAAAATAGAGGGTAAAAATAGCAACTCTCTAAAAATAATAATAAAATAATAATAAAAATAATAATAAAATAATAATAAAAATAATAATAAAATAATAATTATTTATTTTGTAACAATAGGATAATTGTATAATTAAATAGATTGTATAAAGTTAATTAGATTAATGAATAAAAGATTGTTGATATATATTTTTATATTGATATAAAAGTTTATAAAGATTAGTATAAAGATCAATAAGGTTATCAAAATATTTAAATAAGAAGCCTAAAAAATAATAAAGTAGTT